ATCTTTTTCCTCGCCCCCCCCCCCCCCCAATATTACTTATTGCATTATTTCCTCTGTATCTGTACATTATTGAAAAAGTACATATAGGGAATGCTGGGCTAAATTTTTAGGAAGGACTCTGACATTCTTTAATCTAGAAAATGGATTCAAAATTTTGAAGGCAGTTTGAATGACAAAATTTCCTTGCTGCAGTATTCAGAACAACAGTTGTGTATTCAAAACAGTATGCTCATCTACTTAAATACTCCCCTCCCCCAATATTTCATTTGTTAGGAATCATCTCTCTTTTGCTAGAGACTTGTGGGTTCTTCACTGATCCCTGCAATAAGAACCACAAGGGCAACCAGTCACAGACACGACTGTTATCAAGTTCATAGGTAATACTTGTATAGATGAGAAAATTTTCTTCCTTTTGCCGTTTTCTTTTCAACTGTGCAACTGCAACTGAGAAGCTAATACACTGGGGTATGCACACATCTACATGCTGTCTGTGAATAATAAGACTTTAATGACATCTGGGGCTCAATGAAGCAAGGACTTACGCTTGGAATGTTTGTCACAGAGAGCCGATGCCCTCATGTCGCAGAGTCTCAGGGATCCTTTGCTGCTGCTGTAGACAAAGAGATTGCAGTGATGGGGATGAAACTCAGAAGCTGTAATCACTTCCGTCAGGTCCTCCATATTGGCTGGCTTTATATCTACAATGTCTGAATGGAAGTTTCATTAAGGAAAATGCAGTTGCTTGCAGGTAAACCATGACTCTTGCTGCCTTCTTGAAGGAAGCATGTAAATGTCCATACATTTAATGCTTTTAGATAAAGATATACTCATTTGTTTGGCAGTCAGGTGTTTTTAAATTTCCATACCTGCCCCATCTACACCAAACTCAAAGAGCCACCAGTCAGCAACGGTTTTACAGCAGATGCCATTAGTAGGTCAATACTTGTCCATGCTGTGCAAAGAAAGGCATCAAAGAAACAGTATTCCAGGGGATATGGAATTCTCACTTTCATTAACACTATAGAGAGCAGGTAGCTATATCTGCTGTAGCTGCTGTTGAAATCACTGCTCTATCCCAGATAATACTGATTGATAGGTAACAATGTACAGCTCAGATCTGCTCACTCCAGTAAAGGCTCACTGGCCTCAAACAATAAATGTACTCTTTTGCAAAGGCAAATGTGGCAAACACAGAAGCATTTATGCAGATAGTTTTGTGTGAATATATACTAATATAATATCCTTTCTAAAAAAAAAATGTGCACAGTGCTGGTTTTGCTATTTGAATACTTGCAAAAGAAGTATCTGAAATGGCATTCTTGGGTTTTTATGTAAACAATGCTCACTACTGAAATCAATATGAATTTCTGTGACTGAGAACTGTACATCTGAATCATTTAAGTGGACATATCTGGAACAAAAATACATAAAAGATCTAGTTTCCCAAGCACAAACCTATCAGTTGGATCACCAAAGATTATCCACATGAAGTACAGCTCAGATAGTGCCTCTCCAATGCATATATATCCATTCCTACATATTACCTGCCTTGGTGAGCTTAAAAACCAGGACCCAATTAACATGTATTTGGAGGACAAGGCCAGCCTGTGGAAGATTACTTATAAAGAAAAGAATGAAAGAAAGAGTCCCATGAGGGGGCTATAAGAAAGCAGTAGGTGTAGAAGCATAAAATGAAAGAAGGATTTATATGTAAAGCAGTACATTTAAATAAGATTTTATATTTTCATATGGCCCTCAGCAATCCGCTGTAGATAAGCCATCCAAATGTTAACAAATCCTTCGAACAGGAAGAGTAACATTACCCTATTTTACTGATGAGGCTGTGTGAGAGGCAATAAAGGATTTGCATAAGATCACATGGGAAATGCATGACAGAACAAACCCAGATCTACTAAGTCCCAGTTCAGTGCCCTAAACAGAAATCACCTCAGTGCCTGGATTCCCCAAACATAAAATTTGAATCAGCTGATGTTCAAAATTTGAACATCTCAGAGGATAAGATAAATGAGAAAATCTGTTTTACTGATGGCAAGAGAAACCACATATCATGATACTAAGCCTGCCCACTTCCCAAATGGAAGACCTTTAATTGATTTCTGTGGGAATGGGCTACAGTCTGTCACCACCTTTACACTCTGTACTTTGATCTTTCCCAAAAATGCAGATCTGGGACACTACACTGAAATTAAACACACTACAAAAGATTCAGAGATAATTATCTTGATGACTTTGCACAGACAAATACATCACATTGATGTTTTGCGGTTTTTTACACCAAGTAGTTTAAAAAGGAAAATATCAGCAAAACTATGAATATCTTGTGACATTTAATAACAACTGGGAATGAATTAATGTTGCATTTCAACTGCATTCCCACTTACTTGCACTATCACATTTGCATCCATCTCCAAGAATCCATCATGATTAATATTAGTGTAATGAATGTTAAGATGTAGCAACACTGATTTACCCCTTTTATAAAGCATCACTAAATATTCTTGAAATTCAACAGGAAAAAATAACCTTTATTCAGTTATTTGTATTTGGTGAATCTGCATCAAGAAATATCTTTAAGTAAAAGCAATTGCTTTCAGTGATTGAATTGCTTTCAGGAGTTCAGAGAAATTATAGTAACTCAATACAAGAATTTCACCTCTCAGCAGAGAAATGAATAATTGCTGAGTGATGAGAAAGATATAAAATATAAATAGAGTATGTGAAACAGTCATGGTAAGTATCATTTTTCTGGATGCTGAAGACAATATTGATGAATTTCCCTTCATTACATGAAATGAATAACCCTATGCTGAATAATGAAATTAAATATTCCATTCTCCTGCCAGAAAAGCAGAAAATACTTGAAACAGACTGCATTTCCAGATGTGATCTAAATCTCCACTGAGAAAGAACCTCATTGCCTACTGAGGATCATAGAGAAAATGCACCACTGAAAATTCATCGTTTCGTTAGATTTAGAAAAAATAAAACAATAACACTTGTACTGAAGTAAACAATCAAGGGAATAGAGTTGCAGAAGAGACTTACCCCAAATACATTTGTAGTAATAGATAGAAAAACAGCCTTTGCTTTGACAGCTACAGAACCCAATGTATCAAAAGAAGAACATGTCACACAAAAGAACATTTTCCTCCCCTCATGATTTTTGCCATCTATTTGAAAACAATCAAGTACAGCTTGACATGTGATGTGTGGGAACTGTATTTAAACTAGCATGACATGGTAAGGGCAAGCATCTCCCACGAGACATTTCGCATTTCTATTTTTCCATCTTCCCTTTGTGTCTTTTTCTTCCATTTAAGCACAACGTTGCATGGCAGGAAAATAAAAAAAAATTGGACCAGACAGTGTGCTTCAGAAACAGGCCCTTTGGTGAACTTGAAGAGCTCAAAGAAGAGGGAATCTGGCAGAAACTGTTTAAATGAAAATTCCATTGCTAAAAGGAAAAGTATTCTAACGGCACAAATCTGTCAAGTCGCCTCCTACGCTATCGTCTTCCCTTGCAATCGTATCTCATGGAGGGATGTCTTGAGTGGGGCACGGTGCCTCTCCCCCAGTTCACTCACATCTGAAATACCAGTCACATCTGACTCCTGTTGTACCACATGTAGTGTGGTTCATTTTCAGAGCATGGACAAAACAACTAGGACCAAAGCTATCTAAGACAGAAAGACCAAAGAGTTCACCATTGGCAGTGCACTAGGATATAATTCTGTTGTCCTAAAAAAGCTGGTGTTCCTGTGCCTGAACAGGGTAGGAATTTCCCCTAAGAAAATGGAAAAAGATCTTCACGCTGCTTTGACTCCCACACATGCTTGCCAAGAACGAGGCATTTTGATCCCTGGTATAGATACTTGCACTAAAGGAAGGCTGAACTGGTGCCTTGCCAGCAATGGGCTGGAATGCATTGGCAGTCTCTTAATTCATTAACATTAAAACAAGGAACAGAAAATACCTTCTTGCTCGCCAAAAATAGAACAGGTCTGTCCCTCTTAACCCAACTGTTTGCCGTCTTATATACCAGGTCTCCCCTCCATTGCTCAGCTCAGGGAAACGGGATGAAGCTATGAAGAGGCCAACAGATTTTCTAGATGCTCTCCACAGCAAAATGGAGATGAAAGGTCTAGTATGTTTCAGACCACAATGGTGAGAGATGATGTTCTTACAGTTGGGTTAGTAGAGCTACAAAGAGTTAATTTTGGGAACGGCACCAAAGATACTCTAAGGCAATGTGACCTTTAACTTTGGCTAAGAGTGTCTATGTTGCTTTCCCAAAATTATTCAAAAACAGAGGTATAACATAGAAGAGTGAGCAGGCAGGACAGGACCTGACTGAAAGAAGAAAGGAGGCTTTAGGGAAAGATCTGAGGGAGGGGAGGGAGGGAAGGAAAACAGTGGGAAAGGAAGGAGGAAAGAGCATAAGGAAAGGCATGATTAACAACCTGCAATGATACGCAGTGTGAGGGTTGCGATCTCAGTACACGATTCAGTTACATGGTATGTTTAGGTCTAATCCAGTATTTTGTGCGGCTGTTGTGCAGCTGATATTAAAATGACGATGACAGGAGGAAGAAGATTTGTTCCACTGCCTCTGGGCCACTGATCTAACAGAAATATCCCCCTCTGGGAGCAGTCACTCCATAAAGTTCCTTTTAGTGCAGGTTACAAAGATGACCCTCACCTTGATCCAAAATTCACATTAATCAGACTTCTTCTCTTGATCAGCTAGAAAATAAATGAGCACGCCTGCTTTATGCTCATGCCAAAACATGTATAACGAGAATGTGGAAAATACATATGGTTCCTGCTGAGCAAAAAAGGTTCCAGAATGAGTTTCCCTGTATGATAATGGAAACAGCAGTCTCCTCAAAACAGATTAAATTCCCTTTGAAGCGAACTGTATGCATAAAGAAACAGCTGCTTCGTCCTCCTGAAACCATCAAGGAATTCTACAAGAAACTGAATTTTGTAGAAAACAAACTTGCAACTCACAAGCTATAGCATATAAAGGACTGAATCTTATATCATTATTTTGGAATCATTTTTATATGACTTGTGGGTTCACTTCAAGAAGGAAATAATTTGTATAGTCAGACGAAGGCTACAGAAAAAAAATTAATTGCCCCCCCTTTATTCAATTGCAATGGAGGAGAGAGGCTTTCTTTAGAAAGCCAGACAGAATTTTCCATAATAACTTCACAAGAAAACCAAAATTCTCATCTGTCTTATTTCAACATATGCTGTTGTGACACTTCATTTTTACCCCTGCTTGGGTTGTTGCAATTTTTAAGCACTTTCAAAAAATAAACTTTAGCATATCTTCCCAAACCTGGCTGTTCCCTGTGTTTTCCACAGAGGTTTGTTCCAGCTCCTAATTTTGTCTGCATCTCACACCTACGTTCCAGCCTAGTCCTAGAAAGATTCACTGACTAGTAGCTGAAATCAATAGCAAGTCATAGAAGCTGCCAGCGCTTCAGTTTAGGGTAATCGATTACTGTGGTCCTGCTGAGGCTCTACACTTTTAATATAAGCATTACTCTGAGTGGTTTCCTCTGTTAGTCATTTAGTGCACGCTATTTTCATTTCAAGGAGGGAACTATGATGCTTAAAAATCAAGCTCTACCAGTTTTACACTTCCTACATGGTGGTTATATCATTCCTATACCAT